AGAAAAAAATCAAAAAATAGCTGAGGCTAAACAAGGCGGTAAGTCTCAATTGGGTGCTCGTGCAGCAGGTTTACAATTGAAATGTCCTGTTTGTAAGGTAACAAATTAATAGCAGATTAATTGATTATATTAACTATATTAGCTATAATTCTAATTATTAACAATCAATCAATCAATCAATTAATAAAGAGTCCAGCCGCTAATTATAAAATCGTTGTTCAACATATGGAGGTAAATAAGAAATATACATTTTTTTATAAAGATATTTTAAAGATATTTTAATAATTTGATTTTGATTTTATTAGGCTAAACATCCAAAAGAACCAATACCTCCAGAATCTTCTTTTCAATAATTGAAAAATATATAGATACAAGTTCTATTTTTATTTTATTGAATTTAAACTTTGAAAATATAATAATTTATTATAATTTTAATTACCATCCATCATAATCATAGTCATAATCATAATAATAATAATAATAATTAATAATGGTTTTTATATCTTCTTTTTATTTGACCAGCATCATTTATTATAGATTCAAATCTATTTAAAGTTATTAATGGCAATAATACTACGTCAATTGTATCTATTATGTTATGTAGGGTGATATATAATATAACATATAACATATATTCGTACGCAGCATTTTAACATTAATGATATTTTATATTACAATGATTATTCATATCTAACTATCTCATTAATATATCTATTATCACTTTATAAGAAGAAAAAAGAAAGCAACGGATATTTATGATTTAGATTTAGCAAAGCAATAATAAGAATTATAATATAACATTTGTTGTTTAATGTTAAAATGGTGATGATAATCTTATTGATTAATTCATATTAGAAACTGTATCATCAAGTGGATTTAATAAGTGTATATATAATATTGTAATATTAATGTAAGTCACAAGTATTGATTAAGTAATGCCAATGATTTGATATTCCACTTCAAGCGCGTGACTTTCTTGTTAAAGAGTGAAAGTATTTACTAGCGATCGTGATTGTTAACATGATTGAAGTCATTAGTTATATATGTTAACATTTTTATAGCCAAATCGCAAATTTTTATTTGCAAGAAAAAATAATTAATATTATCATCATCATATATACAAATTATTGATTAATTAGCTATATACATAATATATATATATAATTTTGTCAAAGAAAAAAGAAAATCATATAAGCTTATTTATTTTGTTATATATATTAATACTTTTTTTAAGATTGAGATTAAAAACATTTTATTAATGTATTATGATGTTATTTAATAGATGATGGAAATGATGATGGTAATATTAATAATAACAATACGTCATCAGGAATACAAGATGTTGGACAAGCTCATGATAATAAACAAGATAGAAAAAGAAAGAAAGTTGTAAAGGATAATGAAGAAGTATTTTATGCACATTCTATTCAAAATTATTGATTTGATTTTAGACATAATTTGAATATTTTTTAATGGATAATAATAGTCAACCTTCTTTTATTAAGCGGGAAAAGGAATTTATGAAACTTCCAGAAATCCAAATAGTACTTCCTCAACGTTTAAAAGAAAAATTAATAGATGATTGGGCAACTATTATGAGAGACAAAATTGTAAATTTTTAACAATAATTTCTTTAATTGTATATAACAAAATGGTCTAATGAAGAGCAATTAATTAATCAATGTTTATTGTATTTAAAAAGTTATACCATCTGCCTTGTTCGATTACTGTGGACGAGATATTAGTAGATTATTTGAATTATAAACGTGGTATTACTTCTTCCACTTCTGGTGATAACTCATTGTCTTCTTCTACATCCTCATATTCTTTATCTTCCAAAAATGCTTCAAAATCGAACGATTATACATCTTCAAGGTATGAAGTAATTTATTTTTTTGTTGGCTTTCCTAGAATAAATCTGCATTATTAAGCCATCAAACCATTAATAGATTATTCAAGGATGTTCACGAGGAAATTACGAATGGAATTCAGGCTTATTTTAACACTTGTTTGGATACTATGCTCTTGTATGATGAAGAAAGAGTTCAAAATGAAGATGTTCACAAAACTTATCCGGACAAAGAATGGTCAGAAATCTATGGAGCAGAACATTTGTTAAGATTATTTGGTAAATTATTAATTACATATAAATAAATATCTTGAAGATTAAAAAGTAAAAGAACGAGCGCCAATAGATTTATTTGTTTGATTTATTATTCAGTTGAACTTCCAAAATTACTTGTTCACACTGATTTAGATGAAAAGGCTATGGATATCCTTAAAGGACACTTGGCAGACTTCTTAAAGTATGTCCATTTTCAATCAGATATATTACCTTACTCTCGAGTTATTAACTGTATTATTAATATTATTATTATTTATAGATTTTTTGAAAAAAATAGATCACATTATTTTGTGGGAATGTATGAACATGATTTGAGTATTCCCCCTAACAAGAAATTAAAATCTAGTGGCAAGAGAGCAGGTAAAGTAGATAAATACGTTTATGAAAAATATCAAAACATTTAAAAATTAATATATCAAGATTTTTTTTCCTTCCAAATCTCAAAATATATAGCAAAATCTTACTGTACAAATTGTAGAACATTCAATTCGCCTGATTGGCATGCTGGAGAAACTCCTGATCAAATACTTTGTAGCAGTAACTTATCAATCTACTTATATATATATATATATATGCTACTAGCTATTAATTATTGATTATAATGGCTATCAATTACTCAATTACTGATTGTTGATTGATTACATTAAATTTCTAGTTTGTGCGCTTTATTATCTAAAACATAAAACTCATAGACCCGAAAGTCTTTGGAATAGACATTACGAATCTTCGTCTTCCTCATCATCTGCATCAATATCTGCTACATCGCCTGTATCTGCATCTACCTCTCCTGTAGCATCTCCATCTGCACCAGCATCCTTAACAACTTCTTCTCCACCAACCCCAGTCCCGTCACCTTCAACTCCATCTCCATCTACTTCGGATGATGGCATCCTTAGT